CTTATACATCAATTAGATGGATTCTTAATTTAGCAGGGTTGGCTTGAGAAATTTTAGTTTCAATACAAGTTTGTAGCACTATATACAAATGACTTTAGTGATTATGATTCGAAATCTAGTATTTTCTTAATTATGAGGAATTTTGGTGCTCTTTGTCTTTCCATTTCTGTATGAGTTTCTTTTTGGGGGTTTAATGAGTCCATATGGTTTTCCTTCAATGCCATGGGATGGTAAGTTCGCATGGTAACTTGGAAAATTTTGTGATATGTGCAGATGGGTTTTTTTGCTGAAGCAGGGCCTGTGCAGATTTTTGTTTCAAATCATGTAAGTAGATGTTTCGCTCTGTTATTGTCATTTTCTCTTTTGGTTACTTTTTAAGAAATAAGTAAAATACTATCCTGCAATCTTTTCTCTTTTCGTTTTTGGCAAGGAATCTTGTATTGTGAAATTTTCACATTCTATGCAGCCATGCCAAAGGAGAAATTTCACTTGTAAATGCTTTTATTGAAAATATTAACTGAAAATGGGTAATGAGACAAGAATACATATTTGTGAGATTGTTGAGGAACTTTTCCAACTTTTTTTATTTGAATAATACTATTTTACATAGTTTCATTTATTGAGTCTCGGTAAGTGTGGAATATTTAATCACGCATTTTTTCATGGAACAATAGTAGTTGTTTGCTGCTTCTTTGATTATGGGATATGACTCTGTTTCACCCTTACAATATTATTTGTTTTGTAATGATTTGGTTCAGTGAAAGAGTTACAACAGGTTTTCTGAAATTTTTGAAAATAAAAATTAAGCGAGAAGGAAAAAAAGATGTAGAGAAAGAAAATAGGAAGAAGAAAAGTTAGGGCAGAGGATTCGAGCTCCACAATTGAAGGTTGGGAGCAAAGGATCAGATAACTAGCCATTTGCTTTTGGTGGGAGGGAAGAAACTGGAGTGAGTCTTGGGTGTGTGATAGAATTGAATTGTACTTTTTCATTGTCCTTTTCTGACATATGAGTAATTGCATTCTGGATTACTTTTTTATTCCACCATGGGCAGAAGATAACATGGGATTTATGATTACTTCAGCTATGTCTGAGGGATCAAGTATGACAATTGTTGGGAGGATTTCTTAGAGAACTCATGGTCTGGTAATTCTTTGTGCTCATCATAACACTAGTTGTATTTCAGTGCATTACTGGTGCAGGTATGGCTCTACTAGGTTTTGGTTTATTTTTCTAATTTTATGAATACCTGTCCATTGACATGATAACTTTTGAGTTTAGAGGATAAGAGATTTTTCTGGTTCGAACAGAATTTATACAGAATGGATTGAGGAGTATGATCCCCTATCCTATGGGAACCTTTATTCTCCATTGCCTTGTCTTTCAGATTAGGTCTACTTAGTGAGACGGAACTTCTTGTTTCATCTTTTTCGTTTGTTACCGATTGAGAGAAGAACCGATGGGAGGATTTTGTCGTCTATTTCACATCCGGATTCTAAAAATTTGTAGACATAGAGTCAAGAAGGAGCTTTCGACGCGTATGCCTTTACTCTACGGAATTGTAGATTTGACTATTTTGAGTGCTTATTTTCTCGGAAGCAAGAGATGACATGTGATACTTAGTATCAATTGGCAGACTGGAATCTAGGCTCATTTTTGTAGTTCATCAGTCCGAAGATTTTTTTAAAATTTAATTTAACTTTTAATAATTAATTTAACCTCAGGAATTTTGGTAGTTTGACCCTCCTAGTGTGTTTTTAAAGTTTCTTAGCTCAGATATAATTTGCCGGGCATGGTACTGGCTCTGAGGAGACGAGCTTATAAATATTTTAGAGATTCTATTAAGAAGCCAACATTGCTATGACTTCCATTTTAACTTGGAAGAAGAGGGGGCTTAATTGTTGTAGTTCTGTTCTACTTTGCTGAGTTTAGGGAGTTTTGTATGGCTATTGGGGATTTTAGAGGAGTCATCACTTAGCAAGTGTAAAGGGTTTTAGTTACTTATCATTACTTAGCAAAAAAACAAGAATGTTGAGAGTTCAAATGGGGTATGATTAAGTTTTCTGTCTGATGCATGGACAAGATATGGGTTGTAAGATGTGGGACCGTGGGCTTTTTACATCTTGTGGAGACACAAAGTGGAAGATGGGATCGAGTTGGTCCATGGGAGTTCCTAGGGGTTAGAGAAAAGCACAGCCTTATGGAGCTGCTTGACTTGTTGATACTTGATTGCTTAGAGGTTAATGTTGTTTGATGGATGCATTTCTTCTTTGTTTGATAGTGTGTTTTTTCTTTTGTTGCTTGCCTAGCTTCACGGTGTTATCATCTATGATAGCAAGTTTTAACAAGTTCTGTAGATCAAATTATTCTCATATTTCAATGCTGTGTCATGCCAACAACATGCACAATTCAAGTTTTAAATTGTTGTCTTCGTTCCTGGTCCTTAGCAAGTTGCCTTTTATAACCCCTCTCTGTCCTCATGCATTGAGTAAGATATATGCTTTTATGCGTTTCTGTAATAAGTTTGTCATTCTTCTAGACTTGTTATGTGATTTGGCTTATGAATATTCAAATCTGTTTCTGGGAAGCCCAATGATGTTTTGATGTTGCAGTTCAGATTGTTGAGATCCTCTGTTATAACCATTTGTCTTTATGTTTGTATGGGTTATCAATCATTTCTAAGTCATATTTAAGGGGATGAACCCATGGTTTTTTATATACTAATTAGAATCTGTTATTGCCCAATGCTAACATAAATAACTACATAATCTTTCTCAAAAAAACATAAATAACTACATAATGCTCATATCCACTTCCTTCTCTGTCGTGTAGCTTATTCCTGATGATATGGAATTTCAATCTGGAGACGTGCCCAACTATATGACGTCAGATGGATCGGTATGAATTGCTTTCTTAATCTTTGTTTCCTTGTGTTTCATATGGCTATTTTTGAACTGGAACTTTCATTTGGTGTTGTACATGTTATGATATGGATAACTTGACATAATGTGAGAACTGGAAGTTTGACAAGTATCGTTGAGCAAGTTTATGAATAGCAATTTTTCTCAGAAAAGTCCTTGAATAGCAATATAAAATCCAGAGAACAGATTCATTTTTCTATTCTGACAAGTAAATCGAGAACAACTTACATAGGTGGAAATATGGATGTCAACTGATAGGATCACTTTGAAACATGCAAGGAGAGCTTGGCTGGCATATGCGTCATGTGGGTCCATAGTTCTATGCCTCAAGCACTGATGCTAAGACTCAAGGTTATGCTTTCTTTAGGTACAAAAATAAAAGGTAGAAGAGTCATAGAAAGAGTAAAAATTCTGGGGAAATCTAGAAAGGTTGTAAAATGCCAGGAATGGCACCTTTCCTGCATCAAATTCCCATCAAAGAACTTCACTATAAATTATGAACAATGTCATTTTAGAAACTGTTTTTAAAAGATCCATATGAAACTGAATATTATGCACACTATTGTGTTTCTTTTTGTGATTATGAATTAATAAGTAGGTTGACTTTGAACTTAACCTTTGGGCCCTCTACAGGTCAAGATTCAAAAGGATAGTGAAGTGCGGCTGAAGATTATCGGGACACGTGTTGATGCTACAGAAATAGTATGTGTCCATTTTAGTTATTCCTTTATTTTTGAGTGGTATACTGAGCATTGGGACCTTTGGAACTGTTGGGAAACTTAAAATAGTCAGTAGACAATTTATTTAGATATTGCACTAACAGCAACATTTTTGGCTGCTGTATCATGCTAGAAATTGTAGCTTTATTGAAACCGTACGTTTTCCTTACATCCCTTCTTCAGCTGGTAGTGCCATTTGTATTAATTCGTATGGTAGGTCTTATCAACTGTTTCCAATATTATTTAGCTAAATTTCTGGTGTGTAACTATATGTTATATGATAATGGATCAAATTCTGTTGAAGTAGACTATCATATTCCCATTTCTCCAAAAAAATGAAAAGGAAAAAAGAAAAGAAAAAAGGAGACTATCACATTACCGTTTCATCAGGTTATATTTTAGGTGTTTAGCTGTTTAGTTTGGCTTTGTATAGTTGTGTACTAGTGAAATCATAAATATGCTAGGCTAGGTAGAAGATACCAAATATTCAATGAACAATGAAGCACCCATTAGAGAATAAGAAAATTTTAATTGTGATAAAAGGGAAGATAAATCATAATAAAAAAGAAAAATTAGGAAATTTTTTTTATTTGTTGCAATTTAAAAAATGGTCTTAATTTCTTTAAAATTTTATATTAAATACATAATCTTTATATTTTGAAATATATTTATAAATAGCAAAATGACTCAAGCATGACATCTAAAAGCATAAAAAAATCAATAACAAATATATTAAAGGCTTTAAACCCGATTTTATAATCTAATATTGTATAAAGAGGTAAGCATGTGGTAATGAAAAATTGAATAGGCATATTTTTTTTTATTTAAATCATTTTTCCATAGTTGATTAACAAATGCTCATAAGTTGATCGACTCCATTGTTCATATGTTAACCCTGTGTGGTATTGCCTATCGACCAAATGCCACCAAATCTTTCCCTACCATAAACAATTCTCTTACAAACACCTATTACTATATAAACCCCATCTCTAATGGAAACTTAAAGAAAATTTTAGTCTTAAGAGTTCACTCAGGGCTTTTCCATGTAGCTTAGTGAAGCCGTGGTTTTGACTCGAGAGCTCTTCACAATGAGGCATGGCTTTTTAAAGAGGACATATACTCGAAAGAACTCATAATGAATTGTTAAAAAAATATAAGGGGGGTCAAAATAATGCAATATGTATAAGGATAATGATTTCATGTCACCGTGTCATTATAATATAATGCAATCACACTTCTAGAAATTTATATATGACCCCAAATTTTGCATAGGTACTCTCTTTATCCCAAAAATCAATCAAGAAAAATCAGTTTATACATTAGATGTGGTTAAAATAAGTCCCCTCCAACAATGAATCTAGATCGTCAATTTGGTGAATTTTAAGATCTATGCTTTTAGGAATTCAAAATGAGTTTTTTTTCTTTTTTAACATTGTTTATCTAATGATAACAAAGCCATCTAAAATTTTTGGAAAAGAAAAAGAAATCCTTCTAAGGCCTAGATCTAAGCATCTCACCAAAAAGCTTATGTTACGTTAATTAAGAATACATTTTAGAGTGTGTTTTCTAATTTTGTTTTTTTTTTATTGTACATCAAAATGAAAAGAGTATCTGTTTAAAAATTAAGACCGACCAAATGGCCCTAGCATGGTTTTTGAAGATTGTCCTATTATATTACCATATGGCAGGTTTTTTAGAGTTTACATGGGTCTTTTTTCATTTTCTTGGGCAAAGTATTATTTTCTTTAAGGTGGTTTTAGGAAATCGATAAAGGTTATGTTTAAAAATAAGACCAAACAAATGACCCTAGAATGGTTTTGAAGATCCATTGCATAAAATCACTCCCATATACATAATAGCAAGTTTTTAGGATTTATTTGTTTTTATAGTTTACGTGGGTTTTTTTTCAAATTTTTTTCATATTGTTGTTTTCTTTAAAGAGGTTTAGGAAGTTTTTCTTTTTTTGGTAAATGAGGTTTAGGAAATTGACATGTCGAGTTTATCAATTCCATGTAGAGTTTATCAATTCCAGTGTTTTACAATACGGGATGCGGCCAAAAGCGGTGGGGGCCTGATGCGGCCCGGATGTGGGTGCATAGCGACGATACGGTCAATAAATATAAATTTAAAAAAAAAAATCTAAAAAAATAGGTTAATGCATAAAAAAAAAATTGGAGGTGATATATGTGATAGTAGGTATCTTAGGTTAATGATTAACTTCAAAATTATTAGCTGTCGAAGATTCAACCATAAGCACAAAAGCACAACCATCAACAACCATAAGCACAACCATAAGCACAAAATAGTGATATTACAAACCAAAAGTCAAGCTCAAGAAGAGTTATTAGTTAATAACTTAATACAATCATCCATTTTGAGAGTCAATTTTGAAATTTGAAGTCAATTTTTCAAATATCAATCAAAGAAATCATCTTGAAAGTCGTCATGTGAATCATCAATATCATCCTCGACGGCCTCCATGTATTCTTCTTCCTCGATCTCCTCTGAGTCAGCTTCCTCTTCCTCGACCTCTGAAGCTAATGTGCGAGTGCGACTAGACCTAGCAGCTCCTCTACTTCTTTGTGCTCTAGTGTTAGGTTGATCTTCTTCATTAGCCCCTGTTGCTAGCTCGACATCAAGCCATGTAAGATCCTCACCCTCAAACACACACACTTGTCTTTGATCCATGGTCTACTCACTTGTAGAATCACCATCAGCTTCATACAATTGAATAGGGTTGAGGTTCATGCGATTTTCATACATCTCCCTAAGCTGCTCATTATACCGCACATAAACCAAATCATTCCATTTTTTCTGCTCCAACCTATTTCTTTTTTTTGTATGGAGTTGTGGTAGAAAATTGACATTAGATAAATTAGATTTTAGAAGTTTAGATTAGAAAATTGAAATTCAAGAAATAAGGATTCAGGAATAAGGAGTAAAAGACTTACATGCTCAAATGTATTCCAATTGCGTTCACAACCAGATGAGCTACTTGTGAGATTCAACACTCGAATAGCGAAAAGTTGTAGAATTGGTGTCTCGCTTCCATATAATGCCCACCATGCAGTTGTATAATATTTTATAATTTAGATTATAGATAAACAAATAAACAATGGAACTATACATAAAGTCAGAGACAAGCAAGGTTACTTTTGGCCTTTACCTAGATCTATAGTGTTCCTATTTCGAGTAGCAATATCTCTCTCAAAGTTTCCCAAGGCTAACTTGAACTTGATCAATTCATGGCTTTGGATCTCATTCTGGATATCTCTGTTAGGCACCAACCTCTCAAGCACATCTAAGAACCCACCATTTATTACACGATCTGACTCAATGGATGGGTGCTTGTAGTGAAGGGATGCGTTTAGAAAGTAACCGGCTGAATGGAGGTGCCTGTGAAGCTGGGTATCCCATCTCCTATCAATAATTTTAAGTATAGCCTTGCGCATAGTTTCACTGTCCTTTAAAACATCTTTTATTTCAGCTCTTTCCCTAGTCATTGCCTTATGTATGTAGCCCATGGCGGGCTTCGCATCACTATCAACCAGTCGAAGCACTCTCACTAAAGGGCGAGACACCTCCAATGCTATAATTATTTGACTCCAAAAAGATGTATTCAAAATAATTTTTACAGCCTTTCTTCCATCCTTATGCTTTGACCATTTGCCTTGACTCCATTGCTCTGAAATAAACATGGTCCTCAAGGCACTTTTTTGCTTAGCTAGGCTTCGAAGAGTGAGAAATGACGTGGTAAATCTAGTGATACGTGGTCTCACTAATTCTTTCTTCTTTGTAAAAGACCTCATCATGCTTAAGACTATGGTGTGATTGTAAATAAATCCAACAAACATAGCTCTTGAAATCACCCTACTAAATAAAGATGTTGTACCCATTTTCTTAAGCATAAGATTAACATAGTGAGCTGCACAAGGAGTCCAAAATATATGCGTCCTTTTCAAAGTCAATAAATGCCCAGCTGCAGTGTAATTGGCACCATTGTCAGTGACAATTTGTACCACATTTTGCTCTCCAATAAACTTGACAATCTCATCCATAAAAGCACATAAGTATGTAGCATCATGTGACTTGTCTGATGCATCAATAGACTTAAAAAAAAAAGTACCTATTGGGCAGTTAACCAAAAAATTAATGAATGCCCTTGACTTCCCATCGGACCAACCATCACACATAATAGTGGCCCCATATTTCTCCCACCCCTCTCTCTCTAAGAAATCAAAATTTTATTCACATCAAATCAACATCCTTCAACAAGGGCTCCCTAACCTCATTTAGTGAAGGAGGAACAAGTCCTGGGCCATATTGCCCAATTGCCTGGACCATACATGCAAACCTATCCAAAGTTATAGTATTAAAAGGAATGCCGGCCATGTAAATCCACTTTGCAATCCACTTACATACCAACTTTCTCTGTTCTTTCTTATATCTATTTTCAATTGTGGTTTGTTTTGTTTTTTTCTTTCTCTCCTGAACCACAATTTCGGGGCTAGGGGTGAAAAAAGTATCCATTGGCCCCTTAAAGAGAGGTGTTATTCTCTCAACACTACCACC